AATTTTATCTTAGATAGCTTTATTAGGAAGTAAAATCATTGCAGCCCCCGGGCCGGCTGAAATACGACTTACTTTACAATGGGAATAAATTATCTCTTACTCTAAGATAACTACAATAAAAGCCGCAAAGTGTAATCTACAATAAAATACAATAAGAGAAGTATCAAAAACCAAAATACAAATAATTAAGATAGCTACTAATAATTAAAACTGTTCGCCATGATAAATGTGTTTTTGAACCTAGTTGTCTTACAAATCGGTAGCTTGAAGTATCTCTGGCTGCGGGTGCGATAGGTGGACTCGTTGCGTGGAGGCAGCAGATCATGGAGCTTGTGGTTTTCGTCCCTTACAATCTGATCAAATAGAGCATCACACAAGATCTCCCTCCTCTCGTACAGTGACGCAATGTCAAGAGCTACTAGAGCCTCAGCGTAGGATAAGTCAGGTTGAATCATCCGCAACGCGCGTTTTTGCAACCTTTCCATTTCATTGGACAGATATTGCGGCAAAGAATGATGAAAAACTGGGCACGCATATTCTAATACAGGGCGTATACATGTTGTATAGAAAAGTAGCATATCCTCAGATGGAACTTTAGCGCGCTTTAGCTGTTTTAGGAAGTACAGACGCTTCGCAGCCTTTTTGCATATAGATTCTACATGTGCGTTCCACCTGAGGTTGTCCGAGACTATCACTCCTAACAACCTTGCGGATGAAACAACTTCGATTTGCTTGTCATTGATAGTAATATGATCAAACAGACTACCTGATCTGGAGAATGATATTCTCAGTTCTTTACATTTAGACTCATTGAACTGGAAACCATCAATATTCACTAAGACGCTGCTGGCAGAATTACAACGTCTCTTTAATATCCTCAGCAGGTTACAGAAAGAAGCGTAAAACTAGAAAGTAATACATGAAAAGAAAACTGATGAGAAAATCGAACCGTTTGCGAATTGGCTTGTCTCGAAGAAATGCTGATCAAAATCTTACGAAGGTACTATAAACAGAACGAAATTAAGATATATATTACCTTTGTCCAGCTACGAGGGTAATGAACTGGTCTAATTCCGACAAATCTCAGAAAATTCTACACTACAAAGCTAAAACTGACAAGTCAACCTTGATTGCTCTGAAACACGTTTTGCGAAAACACGTGTTTCTGAATGCGCGCTAGGACGCTTGGGAAATTACCCAAGCATTACTTGAGACTTAGCGTTAGCTACAGTGTACATCCTCTTGTGTTTCCAAGGTATCACTAACATCTAACATCGAACGCAGGATCTATCATTATTTTAAATTTTTACCTAAATGTAAATCTAATTCATTATGCATTTCGATTCGTGGGCAGGTGTTAAAATAGATTGGAATAAATAGGCAAACAGAGAGGATTGAAGGTTTAAGAAACAAAAGCGACGAATCAATGAGTCCATAAAAAATTTTTAGCAAAAAACCTGCCCGCTTAAAGTTTTTGGCCTTTACTTGAAAAACTCCCAACACAACTATCGTGCATTTTACAGGAGCCCTTAATTTTACAATGTTTATTTGACAAAAGCGTTAATATAATTAATGGTGAGATTTTCAAGAGCAGCTGCTTTAAATAAAACTCTCCCTCATTGGTTAAATCTGGCTATGACAGGGGAAAAGGGTAATTTGAAACTGAGTATCAACAAACAGTCCTTGGGTATTGTTGATGCTATCAGCAAAGCCTATATATTTCGCGATCTCAAGTTTCAAGTCAGTTTTCACAAAGCATTCAACTACATTTATGCCACAGAAATGCTTAGTTTGCTCATTTCCGGTTTACTAGTCGTTCTGAATTCCATTTCAGCGTGTTCAGATGGTAAGTCTCATATTTTCAATCAAGTTCCTCAATTTAAATATGTTTTTTTTTTTTGTAGAAACTAACCGAGCGTGCGTTAATTCAGACTTCCTAAAGCTTGAAAAACCATCAACTCAGTCAACACCGATCGGATCATGATTTTATCCTTACGTTTAAAAAGTTGGGAATAACTTGGTTTTCTTGTAATGTTAAGCTGCATTTAAACCTGTGGAACTCCTCTTTCAGCACTTAGCCGCTGATTTCAAATATATATGGATTGTTTGGCACAACCGTTCTCTTAAATTATTTTCTTCCCATGCAGCCACACTTTGTCTTTGTAAACTAAAATTTTCATGCTGTGCAGGTGCACTCGAAAATGACTAAATCCAGAGGGTTTTCAGTTTTATTTTTTTTAAGAACGTGCATCAGTTCTCTAGTTCGCGCGAGTTATCATCATGCGGTGATGACTTCATTAAAATTCTGTTTACTCTTCAAATGGAAATACTGTCTTAAAATCAACTGAATGTAGATCATCCTTTCAAAAGAGCTTATTTCAATTTAAGTTTGCAGCAATTTGGATGGGAGATAGAGAATGCACAAGAATAGCGTAAGACAGAACCCATGTAAGTGACCTACTCGAAATGAGTAATGTTTCCTCTATCTGTTCATGCTGCTGAAAGGTAATCGATCACTGTTTACAGGCACATGCCGCAGAATTGAATTCCCCAGTTACCTTTCCTACGTTGGAAAGCGCTTGATCAATCACGTAATAAGAACCATACCAAATATGGACCAGGACTCGTGTGAGTGGCAGTGTTACTTGGATCACAACTGCGTCAGCATAAACTTACAGTTTCAAGGTATAAAACAGGTCTGCGAGTTAAATAATTCAACTCATAATGAGCACCACCAGGACTTCGTCGAGGAAGACGGCTACTTTTATCGTGGAACAGAGGTGAGATTCTGGTCTCTTACCTGATATTCTTTCACAAATTTCCAGCCTGTAAAATTTGTACAAGGGGTACAAGATATTTCAGCTGTAAGAAAAATGAGCCTTTTGACAACCAAACGTGACCAAGGATACTTTTTTGTTTGATTCTTTTTGCTGGTTATTGTCTGTTTTGTTTTCCAGAATACTTGCCGTGCGTCACCCTGCCAAAACAACGCAACTTGTCAATCTGGTTTTACAAACACAAGATACCGCTGCTTATGTACTTCTGGATTTACAGGCCATGACTGTGGAGTTGGTAAATCATATAAAAACTGGTTCAGTACCTTTACAACGCGGAGGCTCCGATCTTGACAAATTAGCGTTTTTTTGCTGATACTCAGTAAAATACTATGACAAGGAAGCATTAGCGTATGTTCTGTTGATGACATCAATGAAGGTTGCAAAGCTTAGACACCGAATGCAAATATGGTGTCCAATTTGAATTGCCACTGTTCTCCATTCACTAGCCTCGTCCTCACATGGAAACACAAAAGGATTATTAAATGTGTTAGAGGCAAGTGAGTATATAAAAATGGCAACTCAAATTGGACGCCATATTTGCATTCGATGTATTTCGTGACCAGTTGATTATGGATAAAGGACAAATTTGTTCAATTCACCTATAACTGATAATAGATTGACGTCTTTTTGTAGATATTGATGAGTGTTCTCACATCAACGGCTGCAGTAAGCATGCCCAGTGTAAAAATACCGCTGGTTCTTACAACTGTTCATGTAAGGGAGGATATCTTGGAGACGGGTACACTTGCAAGAAACCTGGTAATAAGTGTTGCTTTGGCAGACATGTAGAGATTGAAAGAAGCAAGTCAGTCTAATGGAGTGACAAATGGGAATTTATGTACTGACACAGATAAGATTTTCCGTATCTAGAAGTCCCGCAAAAGAGGGATTGCCCCAAGGGTTGTGTGCCTGAAGGTGGGAGGGGTTAATCTACGGCATCCTTATTTAGGTTTTGCTTCCCAGTTCTCTAAAGCCGCAACCTACCAAATACTAAAAATGTCACTATCAACACTTGTTTTCGGACCTGGCCTCTAACTCAAAATCAATTCTTTTTTCAGAATTCTACATCAATTCATCGATACTGTCACACAATGAAGAATACCTCAGCCATCTCTCCTGGTTTCTTGTTTCAGCTGTTGGAAATGTTTCCCATTGGTTGCTATGTTTTCGTCCTTCCCTTCACGGAGCTGTAGATCAATATTTTCACAATCGGTGTAATGGAAGAAATGACACCATCACTATCATAAAAGAAAACAATTATGTATTTGGCGGATATGTTGATATTCCTTGGGGTAATTACTTGCCTTTTTGGTTGTTCAATACGAATCACTAATGAGTACACTGCAACTAAAATATCTAACAACGTCTCGTTTAGCTACATTTTTCCTAAGGGTTTTTTTTTTCTTTTACTTTTTTTTCGTTTTTCTTTTTTTTCGACTAGATCACGGAGGGTCGTGTGTTCAAATCCCATCTGGAAACTCGATTTTTAAAAATTGTTTATTTTCATCTTTACATGCTCACTTTGGAGGCTGGTTGGCTGCATGTGATGCTTTAATGCATGTGATGCTTTAATGTGACAGCGTGATGCTGTTAGTGTGCTTCTATGCGCTGGCTGATGTTTGGCTGTGTAGCCGCATGATGCGGTTCTAGTCAATACCCACTAATTGACCCTTACTCACCATAGAGTCTCCTGTAGCTCGGTGGTTAGAGCACCCGACTTTTCCTTTTTTTGGCAGAAAAACTAAAAAAGGCATTGTGTCATATTATGATTGATTTCATTTTATGCTCTCCAGCTTCTCGCGGAGCCAAAAATGCAGATAAAAGTGACCACCTTGTAACATCGCAGTATCCAAACAAGAACCACTCAGATTGTTCAAATTTTCAAATAAAGATTTGCGCCTAATTTGTCGCCTACCTAAAGGACCGGTAATTATTTATTGCCTAGGGAGGCGGGGGGAGGGGAGTTCGCATAATTTTGACTGTGTCATAACAAATTTTTTACTTGATTCCGCCTTTAGGTCTGAAGTATTCCAATGATCTGCCATCCTTAGCAGTCAATATTCCAAAGTTTCTCCCAGGAGAATATCATCTCATCAGTTCATATTCTCTTGGTTTCTCCTGTAGACTATGTTTGCTAAGAATAGTCTTTCCTTTCTCCCGATAACCATGTGATCCCACTCTTAGCATTAATTAAATAATGACTGATCCCTCAAAGTTATCTTTTTCCATTTTGCCAATAAATTAAAAGTCAATAGTATACTTCAATTACTTAGTGGTAATTGAATAATGTTTTTTCTATCTTTCAGAGTCCAGTTCTAAATATAAATATGGCAAGACAGCCAATGCATTTATCTATTCTTTAAACAATAGCGAAGGAAGTGGAGCGTTCAAGAGCATGGTGAAAAACCCAGAGATGGCTACCTATTATCATAAATACCTCGGGCCTACATTTGGAACTAATGACATCCGAGTAGATTTTAAAAACGTCTATGAACAATCAGTTGCAAATTTCGGCAATAACTATAATCTTCCAAGTAATGTCATTATCAACAACCCAAGAACCATCCTGGCAGGTGTTACACATTTTGAACCAGACGAGGTCGAGGTGTTTTATATGAAGAGAACTGGGCCGTAAACAACGGAGGTGAGCTATCCCTTAAGTTACGTCTACATGAAAAGTTAATTATAAGGAGCTTTCTCCCGTTCTACTCTGATTTGGGCAGCGGATATGTGAACACTTCTCTTCAAGGTTTAACCCCCCAAACTCCAAGTGATAATCAAGATGTTGCTTCATCTCACAATTTCTTTACATTGACCACCCAACAGGCGATGAGAAGAAACTGAATTATGAGCTAAACACCGATATCTTATCTCTTTTTGGCACTGCCACCGCCTGGGGAGTTCAGAAGGTAGGGCGCCGGAGGTCGAGGATTCCAGCCCCAGAACGGAACAGCACTCAGGGTATTTTTAAAATATTCAAAGTGAATGTTCTATCTTCGCTATGACATCTGCAAACGTTTCGACCTTCTTGCCTTTTGGATAAAGACGATAAACAGAAGACCCCGTCTGTGCTGGCTAGCAGGGTAGAACCCAGGCACTTCTCGGAAAGAGTAGGGAACGTAACTCCTAGCATTGTTGTCTGACCTTGTTTCCTTAATTTCCTAAGTTAGGAGCTCTTGCTAAATTTCCATTCGAAAATTGTAAACTATTTAATTAATGGCTTTATAGTCTGGCCAAAGTTCCTCACAGAGTATTGTAAGCACAGTGGAAAATGTTAGCATGGAGAATGCGCTGTATAAATGCGTTATTATCATTATCAAGTTTTCACATGGTTCAGTTCGGCATTAGCTCTCTCGTAACAGTAGAGTGGAATGGGTTCACATACTCTTTGTAAAATTTAAAATAAGTGTACATTTGAAATCAGTAAAGCTATTACACAGTGAACATTGGTTCAACCTATATATGTACGTTCCCACAGCTAAGAAATTGCACCGGTATGTGAAACATCTCGATATCTCTTACGAAATGAGCGAATCAACCAAGTTACTGCATAGTAAAACATTCCATTTTACCGCATCAGGAGAGAAACATAGCGATATCTCTTACGAAATGAGCGAACCAACCAAGTTACTGCATAGTATAACATTCCATTTTGTCACACTAGGAGTGAAACATCGCGATATCTTTTACGAGATGAAAAGTGACCAAGGATTTAGACACCGAATGGAACTTCCAGATTACACAAATCAGTTTCAACTCTTCACTGACATAAATTAGTTTATTTTACTTCATCATATTTACGACCACGGCTGGTCGAATCATCAACATTCAAGTACAAACCGAATCCCTTCATAACGCTTGTAATTGAAGCCACCTAGGAGAACACTTAGTAAACCAGCTTGGATTGTGATTTGGAATATTAGCTCTTTATCAAAACAAAACTATCCCATCCAAGAATTCACTATTTTAAAGCTAGTCTGGCGGAATTAACTGTGGTACATGCAATTGGTTGGGGGGGGGGGGAAGGGGAGGTCTGTCTCTCGTCAGTTGAACGCCCCTCAGAGTCTGGCAGTGGTGACTAAAAGTTGCATTTCATCTAGACTTCTTTGAAGATAAGCTGCAAAATGACCGGGGTTGGTCTCTGGGTTACTATTCACAGTTGATACACCAAAGATGATCTTTCCTTTCTGAGGGTTGTAACAAACTCCATAGCCATCGGGTACTGCTGGGCCGAACGACAAGAACAGCTCGTGATTAGAAGGGACCTGTCACAGAAACGAACACATCAACGTGAAAGAATGTCCACGAACAGGAGAATTATTTCATTTATTCTTTTTTGTTGTTGTTGTTTTCGAGTGAGACTTTTAATCTAGCGATGGTGAATTCTAATTATTCTAACCAACGTTACCACGTGGTTTAAAATTCTGTCAACTGTCCGTTGATTGGAACAAAGGAATACTCTGAGGTTCATGATGCAATTTCAGTTTCAGCAGCAAAATTTTAGTGGTATGCGGAATAATCGTTAAGAAGTCGTACCTGGCTCGTCGAAAGCTTGTAATGTAGCGCGTATTGATAGGAGCTGTCTATGAAGAGCTCGTGTAGCTTCATTCCTGACTCTATCGCTGCTAACTTCATTCCCAGTAAATGTCTGTCGATAGCTTGACCATTGACGGTCTGGGAAAGAATCAAAACAAGGTTTCAATTAAAAGACTTCACATTTACAATCTCTTTTAACCCACAGCTTGAAATCCGCGACAATTCCTGGCCTAAACAACGTGAAAAAAAAACCTATAAATCAACCGGCTTTCTTAATCCGTAAAAACCGTGCTGCACGATTCGAGTCGTCATAGACAAATAAGTTTCATTGATAACTTGAATAGCACAAGATGCGGGCTACACAAAAAGATTAGTGACGTAAACAGTCCACGAACCTGGTTTGAAAAAAAAAAAAATAATACCTATGATTATTATAATAATAGTCCGTGTCCGAAAATTTAAATACAAGAGTTCATCAGCGTCCAATTCGCGCGAAAAGTAACTCGCGGGGTGTGTACTTTTTCACTCCTCTTGAAATTTGTATAAATACTCGAAATTTTCTTTTAGTTAGAGGAGCCTGCTGAACAGGCATATTGGCGAAGCAGTAAGAAGTCGGCAAGCGAGAGAGAAGAGTAACTGTAAACTTTCATTAGATGGCAAGGCTGCAAATAACTAACGGGCAGTCGCCGGTCACGTTGTCCGGTCAAACATGCTTTTGCTCGGACACTACCCATTTATGGCCGGTCAAATTTTAACAGTCCGAACTCTTGCGATAGTGAACCTAGATTGCACAGTAATCCTTTTACAACTAAAAAACAACTGAATCCAATTCGGTCTGGCAATAAAAATTACAAGTCACTAATTTTACTACTCTTTACTGCAGCAGCAGCCTCGCATTGAGTACGTAGAACGGTTACGCAAGATACAACCGCAATTGTCAGTTTTACTTTACATCTGGCAAAAATCACTTATAATAAAATATTACACTCAGAGCCCTTTTTTTTAAAGTTACAGGTGTGAATTTTTGTTGGAGTAAAAGAGTGGTCGGTTTCTCCAGGTTTTGGGCCTTTTGATCGCTTTTTGCACTTTGCAACAAATGCTACTTGGAGTATTCTCGATGCAACAAGATTATTCTTCGTGAGGGTGCTTTCCGATCATTCAATCGATCAAACAATCAATCACTTTATTTAAGAGTAAATGAAGGTATCTAGCCAAAGGTAAAACCCTCTACTAACTGGAAACACTTAAATAAATAAATAAATAAATAAATAAAATGACGGAAGACACGATGATTTGCGGTCGCGACAGGACTTGATGACATCGCGGAAATTTGCGACTGCCGGGAATTTCTCGACCACTAATTTGTCTACTGGACCACTAATTTGTCTATTGGTTTTTTTTCTTTCTTTTGGAAACATGACTGTGTCCCTTGTGATTAGCAAACAGTTAAAAATTAAAATTTATTTGAACGAGTCGGTAAAGGATCGGACAAGATGTCCGGCAAACCAAGGATTTGTCCGGTCAGTACCCAATTTTGACCGGACATTGTCCGTTGACCGGCCGTTATTTGCAGCCCTGGATCGGTACTGCGAAAAAGTAAAGATTATTATCTTTTGTTATCAAACCTCTTTAGTATATTTCGTATGTGCTTCTATCGCCTTGTTCATAAGATCCAGTTTTTCAGCATTCTACAAACAAGAAAAAGACAATTCTCAAGATGCAACCCCCTTGAGCCTTCAGTACAACAGTAACTTTGACAAAGGAATAACGAAATGGAGATAATCGGGGAAAATGGCTTCCCATGAAAAAGTGACCACGCCTTATTCTGAGCCATACTCTCAACGCTCTCCTCACTCAATCCGTTCACAATAATTTAACTCGAAGCTTTTAAGCAAAAGTAGACAACCTGCGGTAAAGTATCACTGTCTCTTCCAGAAAAGTGTCAACACAAAGTTTGGAAAAAGCGATTTTAACCTAAACTCCTTTAGCAACCCTCACCGTTTTGTTTGGTGAGACCATGGCTTTGACAAATTCAGAAGAAGCAATTGAAGCGGAACGGATGGTGTCTGTTCTTCCCAGCATAAATTTGCGCGTAGAACCAGTTTCATAAGTTGGAGGATTGTGATTATGAAGTCTGGATAAAAAGAAAGAAAACGAACCATTAGGATAAAAGACAAAAGGTAAATCGGACTATGAAGGTGCATCAATGACGACAAAAAACTTTGGAACATAACAAAAAAAAAAGTGCTTGTAAACTTGGTGTAAAGACACACAATAACAGTTTGAGAAGAGTAGATATCTTTATTTATACAGGATAGCCCCTTCAGTGTAATAAACACTGGTATCAACGGGGGTCCTGTTACCCACCCATCCCACCCCAGGGGAGGACATCCATCACACAGTAAACTCGTGCGTGGGAAATTACCGTCTCCTGCCCCTAACCCTGCAGGAGACGGGACCTCCATTTATTCGTCCCTATCCGAGAAGACTAGAATATCTAACCATTTCTTGATGTTATAGAAAGGTAGCAAATTCTTCTCAGTTATTTTAAGACCCTGAGTGTTGGTCCGGCCGGGGCTCGAAACCTCGACCTCCCGCACAACAGTCCAGCGCTCTATCCATTGAGCTAACTGGGAGGCGGTGAATACTACAATAGTTGCTGCGAAATGTTCTCTTTTCATGAGATGAAATAAAAAATACATAATTGTACATGGGTAACTTACAGCCAAAACTACATTGAGTGCTTATTAAAATAACGTTTTGTAGTGTACTTGTAATCCTCCATTTTTTTAAAGTTCTAATTTAATCTGCCAACACCCCCTTCTCCACCCTAGACGGTATTGAATTACAGCGTCGGGAATAGATGAGTGAAACCGCATTGAGGGAGGGGGTGGGGGGAGGGGATAACGAAGTCTAAAACATGACGGTGGGAAAAATTCAATCTTTTGGAAGTGTTTGATTGATTTAGGACAATGTACCAACTACAACAAAAATGATGTAAACAAGAGATAAAAGCAGAGGAATTTTACCTGTAAAAAGTCAGTTGAAAAGCCATTTGTACCCAGGCATCTGGGCTCATCTTTTGCTTTTTCACAAAGTCTTTTCCATAGCCATTATACACAAAACACCTCAGGTCTATGTCACTGATCATACTAAAAAGACACATGTGGTCATAAACATTAACAATGAGCTCAGAACGGGACTGTGTTTTTTCACATGAAAGTGAGGCAACCAGAGAAGTTACAGAAATTATTTATGTAGCAATCAACTACATGTGTATGTTGACTCTCCAGCATAGTATCTGCTTCTTATTACTATGCCATGGGAAAGCTGTTTTTTCCCTCAAACTTTGGATCCTAATTCTGTTCTAAAAAAGAGGTCAATTTTGATTGAAAGTGACAGCACCAAAAACATACATGTACATGTAAAGGGACTGTTTTGTACAGGATGCTATTATTTGTCAGCGATTTTAACAACTTGATGGCAATTAATGTAAAAGTGACAAAATTGGCACTAAGGCAAAGTCAAGGAGTCTTCCCTGACCTAAATCCTTTAAGTATATTTAGTGATATCATCAACATGATCATCGCAATCACTAAGATTCTCCAGCATCCTGGCCACTGTATTTGATGATCAACTAATCTCTACACGATGTGGTCTTACACAGCAGACCAGTTTGACCCAATCAACCCCTATTTCCAGGTTAAGTACCTGTCAACAGCTTCTCTTCTAGGAGTGGACAGGAAAAATCTGTATGCCACCAGATATCAAGTGATGAAATTACCCCTTCTTCAGCCCTTATGCAGTGACCATCAAACTGAAGGCCCCGCAGCCCTTGCTTCTGCTTTTTCCCCTCCACTTTTTTGTAGCCAGTATCAAATCTTCTTCTAAGCAACATTTACCTGTCTAGATCAGCAGCTGACTGCTGTATTTCTTCCTTCACTTTGTTGGTCAAATTCCATCTCAGTTTTGATGGTGGTTCAAGATGGTTTGCCTGTGCTGGTTTTATTTCTTGATGACCACCCCTATGAAAGTAACATCAGCAATTTAATCTAACAAGTCAGGATATGTATACAAATGTCATGAATAAAGTTCACTCTTAAATTTCTCCATCTTCAAAGCAAAGACTAAAATCATATTTCAATTTTGATTTCCATTCTAATCATTTTAATATAAAACAGGAACAAAGGTTCTGAGGAACAAAGTGAAGAACACTTTTAAGGCAATCAAAATCGAGTTGTGCTTTTTAATTCTATCCCTGAGAAGCCGTTAAAACTAATTTACTAATAGTTATTTCCAGTCAATAAAAATTTGTTTTCTAGAAATACCAACAATCAATCATACTAGAAGAAGGTCCAGGATGCAGCAAGAAAAAAAAAACATACATCCTGGTACTCATTAACTCTTTACACCCTCATTTTAACATCAGTATGCATATTCTCCAAACTGTCCTTTATGCATTTCCTAAGGTGCTGACAACAGGAATTTATTTACAATCAAGAGCTTCTTTGTTTGGTGATCATTTCTTTTATTCTTGTATCCTTAATGTGTAATTTGAGGTGATATTGTACAGAGAAATTGAATGTTAGTCATTCTCAGGGGTCATAGGATTAATGGTGTGGTGTACTCAATAGCCAGTACAACAACTGTCCAGTCACAGTCACATAATGATTGTGTCCAATGTATGTACGATAGTGTCCAGAAAATCAAACATTTAAAAATATTCCAGACTTACAGGTTTTCAATGATATAGTTACAAAGAGCAGCCACTGGGGGGCCCTCTGCTGCAGAGTGTTCATAACACATTCCTGCATGTCCATCTTCACTCACACAGATCTGCAAAGTAAAACCATTTTCCGAAGATTACACACACAATTAAACTAATGCAGCTACTTATTGAAACATTCAAATAAAAGAAGAAAAAAAAAATGGAACAAAGTGTTTCAATCACAATTAACTTAGGATTGTGACCTTAAGAACCCCAAAAAAATTTTGCATGTGTCACCAAAGAGGTCATTGATTCATGACATGGTTTACCCAGCTTAAAACACAATTTCACATTAGTAATGATACTTTACTTACTACTATACATAATTTACAAATTGACTGTTTAGTTGAGTGATGTTCCTGTACGTGTTTGTTGAACCTTTTTTGGGGAAACAGAGAAAACCTCTGTAACTAAAGTTCCCGACCTAACGCTTTCACTCCCAAGATCTCATTAGTACTTCTCCTTACTGGCTGCTGTAAAATTCTTATTATGTTAGTGCAGAGAATTTGGTATTGGATCAACTTATAGTTACCTAGTAAAGTTGATATTTAACAACTATTCAGCGAAGTGAAGGTGGTTAGTGGTGGATATTTACCGAGCCACAAAGCGGCGAGGTAAATATCCACTGCTAACCACCAACACTGAGGTGAATAGTTGTTTTTTAGTATCTACTAAAACAGTGAGATAATATACACCACCAAAAGTTGATTTCAGTGATTTCTTTGCTTGTCATGGATGCAAACTGAGTTGCCATTTTTTCCCCGAGTTGCTCTGAGGTAATTAGCAAAGGATATTCGGAGTTTGACCAGCCAATCAGAGCGCACCTTCAACGCTATCCACCTTTTTAGTATAAACTACCTAATTCATTTTATTCTTATCGCTTGTCTGCCTAATACAGTATTGATAGAGTGAGGAGAAATTCTGTCTTGGTCACTCAAGGGAGTTAAAGGATTAAGCAAGAATAAACTACAGGACTTATTTAAGCTGCAAGGATAAGACCTGTATCTGTTTGTAAGAGTGTTTGTTGAGGTCAGTGTCAAGTACATCTGATTTTTTCATACAGATGAACCTCACTACAGAGGTAAAGTGCCATTTTATCATGATAATTGTTTTCTCCTCTTTGGAATTGAGAAAGGACCTTGCAATGATTTTACCTGAGTAATTTTATCAAACCATCTGTTAGCACTGTTACAATTTGTACCATCGCCATGAAGACACTGCCTGGCTGTGATGGAGGATGATGGCATTTCCATCACACTGGGAGCTTGTGTGGATGGAGGAGGTGGCTTATCAAGGCATAAAACAAAAATTGCATTCTCTATTGCTTCAAGATTGGCCTTGTTTTGATTATCTATGAGAGATTGATAGTATAAAGCAACTTAAAAATTGTCATTTCATTATGAGGAAAAGAGAGCCATTTGTCCATTTGTATTACATGTAGATGAAAATTTGGGATGCTCTGCATTTGACAACCAAAGCTAGCATAAATAACCCAATAATGCTATACTGCATTGTTATCAATGACAAGAATATAACTATCCAACATAAGAACAAAGAACTCCTAGGAAAAGATGACTTGTGCCCTGAAACTGTGAATTATATTTATTTTTAACATTGTAAAATACAACTTAGATAAAGAGTTTCAAAGCTGACATTTCAAGTATTAGCCCTTCAGAAGAGCAAAACGTCCACTCAGCTTTGAAACTCTTTACAGTGGACAATTTACTTCATCAACCCAGTAATTAAAACCAAAACTACCTTGTTACTCCCACCAATGCAGCACCACAGTTTCTTTAGAAACTTACCATCCCCCTTAGATAAAATCTAGTTTACAATTTTGTTCAGGCTTATCAAGAGAATCCAGTTGGTTTCATTTAATTTGCCAAACAAGAAAGAAACCATCTGGAGTAAAAATTGTTTACTTTTCCATCAAACATGCACAATAAGTCATGGCCCAATCATGGCCTGAAAATAAGCAACTCACAGGCATTAGCATGACCTGCAGAGAGCACAAAGAAATTGCATTTGTTCTTGAGTTAATCTGCACATATCAGAATGTCAGAAGTCATTAAAGAGGATACTTTCTCTGTTAATCTACACCTATCAGAATGTCAGAAGTCATTAAACAGGATACTTCGTCTGCACTATGCAACTGTTACCTTTAAGTAGTCTTTTTCGTTGTTTTGCCCAAATTGTTCGGTCAGCGGAAGTGAGAACTCCAACAGCCTCTTCTGGTGCTTCACTGTTGTGTAAAATTTTCTCCATCTGGGTGACCAACTCTCCTTCACTGAGGAGTTGGTTTCCATTATAAACATTCAGGACATAAAACTACCAAGAAACAAAAATTTGCAATCATGAGTGCACAGATCAGTTGCATGATCATTCAAGAGAAACAGAAATTTGAAGAAATCGATCGCCAAGGAAACCAAGAACTACTCAACAACAGGACTCTAGAAAGGAAGTGTTTATATTTCCCAAAAGCTCAGATTTGACTTATATTTTGCATAATTAATTGCAGTTCTCCCATTAAATGTAACCATGTTATCATTAGGGTAAAAAAACATTGTGACTTACCTTTGAAAACAAATCACAAGTATTGTTCTGCCCCTTTGAATTACCCCTCTCCAACTTTCCACCCAAGACATGTTACATGACTGTATACTGTACAAGTCATGTACATGAATGTACAGTTCAATTCTCTACACAGTCTGCCATATATTTCTTATAATCTAGGTTTTGAGAATTGGTTTTTAAATCAAACAATATCTTAAAATGGTATTTTTCCTTCTTCTTGTAGCCTTTCTGCTCCAAAATTTATTGATAATGAGAGGAGAAATTCACTTTTGGCTGCACCTGGGAGGGTGAGTTACAAATTGAACCTAAAAACTACCAAAACTCAAGTGATAATTCAATGCACCTCATTATTATGGGCCACTAGTACATGCTTGACAGTTCCTTTGGGTGCAACAACCACCTCGTCTCTGACTGGCAGTGGGATGCGGCAAGAACATAGCAGCTTTAAGTACTGCATCATGCACAATGGACTCTTCCCCATCATATCAACAGGAATAGCCTCCCTGAAAATTATCAGGAATTATGATGTTCATCAAAACAGAATAAGTTAAAATATTAATTCAATGAAACATTTTAAAGTCAAACTTACGTATCCAAAAGATTCTTGAACTTCAACACACTTGAGATCACCCTTGCAGCATACCTGGGGAGGATTTTAAGTGATATTTTGAGGATTTATAATGACCCAGAGAGTCAGGGAGTTATGGCAAGCATCTGATAACTTGGTATACAAGTTATAAACTTGTTATACAGGTGTGGCTATTGATAGACAACCAAACATTTTAAGCTTTGTGAGTTTACAAGTTCTCCTCTGGGTAAAATAAGATGCAGACACTTGAAATAAATTATTACTGTGATGATAATGACCTTGTTTAAGAGGAAATGTGCCCAAAAATCCAACATTTTCAAAATATGGTGGCAACAGCCGAAAAATCACTGTATACCTCCTTTGGCTAAATATGGATTTATTTTCGAGAAAGTGGACAAAAGCTGAATTTCCTCCAAATGCTGCTTTTCAAACTCAAAATTTCAGACCAATCTCGGACTGTCGCGCCAGGAATTGAAAACACTTGGACCAATAAAAACTACCAAATCTTGAAAAACAACATCAACACATAATTTGACAGCAATTTGAGCAATTCTTGATTATTTATTTACACACCGTAATTGAATTTATCCGACCTTCTTCTAAAAAGGTTAAAAATAGGTCAAAAGTAACCTGTTATTTAACTATGAGCAATACAAAATAATCGACTGAAAATCTGGCTTTTGGAAGGCGAAGTGTGGTTCTTTTCGATCTCCAAAGGATTTTTTGGTGAAATTGATTCACTGCAATTTAATCTAATTTTAAAGTTGGATAAAAAGAGCTGATTTGACGATGCAGTCAGTTATTCGAAAATTAATGTACACATTCACAGGCAAACTCGATTGTTTCGCATTTTACATCCAATCTACAGCTTATTTAATACAATATCATCTTACTGTCCATATTGCTGTACCACAAAAGGGGATTGCAGTCCTGAAATTGTAGCATTGCTCCCATAATAGCATTATAACTTGGCAGGATAGTCAACACCTCCTGATAATGATTGTTTACAAAGCATATCTCAGGGTTTCTCTCTTTCCATTTCGTTGAAAAGGAGGCTGTAATTACTTCACGTTAGAGATCTTTGTTTAAATTTAAGTCTTTAACTAAACCGCGAACCAAATGTTGGCGAAATGTTGCTAGTTCAGATACATGTTTCTGGTGCCCAGAATAACGCTAATTGATTCAAAATTAGGGTCCACAGAAATCGACAACTCCGCAAAAATACAACTTTGGACTGTGAAGCACGTGGCTACAGGAACTAAGGTCGAGTGTTATATAAAGGAAACAGGAGCAAACAATTATTTATTAACTCCGATCCTTATTGAGTTCATATTTTTATTTTGTATTTATTATTGTTTAGGTTGATAAAGCTCATTTTAGGACAAAAAGAATGAACGACAAACCTAGTTCATGATTAAAACCTCTGCTTGCTACAATACTACTGTACAATACTACTTACTTTTATTAAGAGTATTTTTTTCAGCTTCCTTGCACTCTTACTAAATTTTTTTCTGTTGACAGTATGTAATATTCAAAATGAGTTACAGTCAAACCTACCAAATGAAATTCAGAGGGGTGTTTTTATTGTTAATCGCTGAAACCACACTGAGTATCTATAGAAACACTTGGCGCTTACTTTGTGTAAGAAGGAACCTGTCGAGATGACAATTGCCTCGAGTGGAGGTAAGGATTTTAAATATTACTTTACAAGTATTTTTTAAGACGCTGAAAAATTGAATCATATTAGTTTCCTCTTCCTTACTATTTCAATCTCTATTGATTGTTTGGAATGATTAATTACAGAAATTACCTTGAAACTGGCATTTTCATTAACTAATAAAATGAATTGAGGAGAAAAGATGTGAACTCTGCAACAGCATTGCACGTCGTTCTCCTCATAAGGATATCTGCTGCTCGTTCAAAACTATAGTAAGAGTACACTGTGACTTCGACAGACGATCCAGAAAACAGGAAACAGTAATTATACCTCTTCTTGCCTGTTCAAGGCGGATTGAGAGCAATTCTGCTGGTCTCGGTTTTTCTGGGCCAAAAGACAAAGTTGACCTAGTTCTTAGCCGAGCAGCCATATTCTCTCCTCCTGCTGACATACATTCCATGACAATTTGTCCCTGGCTTAGTGCAAAGCTTGGTTTGGAGTGAACGAGAGGCTCTAGTTCAAGGCCCAGAGTTCCTTCTGATATATCAAACCACGATCAATAATATATCGCCATATGATGCATTGATTGGCTTTGGACTTCTATAAGAAGTAGTCATTCACTTCTTAAATTTATTATCTTGGAAGGAAAGATTTAAGGAGATAAGCACAACATGGGTTTGTTTACTTTCTTTTATCTGGTTAAATCTAGATGTCAATCTTTTCCCGACAGGTGTGAACATTCTGGTCTGACCAGACAACAAGCTTGTGATAAATTTTTCATTACGCATCAGCCACGCTCTATAATATTCCGCCATATAATGCATCGATGGCTTTGGACCCGACCATATTTGAGGGGGATAGATCACTACTCGGCTACCTTCTCGGGCAAGACTACTGAATAACTAACTAGCTGAGTTAATTTTTCAAAGCCACTGTTTCCAAAATGCAAGTATTTGATGTAGGTATACCGACTCACACTCGAGTCTGCTGTGTCAGCTGGTGCAATGATTACTCAAAGCGTTTCTTGAGTTCCGACATACGCAGAAATGGTTTTATTTCCAGATGTGAGCTTTTTTTGGACCACTGCCGGGAAAAGGAGGGTGTGAAAAATGTGAATGTGCTACCTGGGTCATAGTCCTACTACCGGCACGAGTAACTTAACAAGGCACAGTAGCCTCTGGAGAAGAAGTAGTATAAATTTATATAAAGTTGTTGAACGTTGGCTTTTACAAACATTTCAGCGAAAGTTGTGGTTTTCCAGGTTTGACCCTTATAAAACTTCCTTGAAATGAACAAATATTCAAACATTACACTTTTTTTTGTCGCACATCTGCAGTGATGTATGATGGGCTATACCCTTGGCAGATCTTTCGCTCTTTTTTTGTCCTAAAATGAGCTTTATCCCCCGAAGTACCATGAACATTCAATTATGATACATTAAATTTATGATCAGAGTTAGATAATTGTTTGCTCCTGTTTCGTATATGTAACACACGACCTTAATTCCTGTAGCCACATGCTTCATAGTCCAATATTTATTTCTGCGTTTTATTTCAGTAGACCTCATTTTTAATTAATTAGCATTATCAGCTGCATGCGAGAAACATGTTTCTAAACTAGCAACATTCCGCTTACATTTGGTTCACGGTTCGGTTGTAGACTTATAATTAAACAAAGATCTCTTATGCAAAGTATTTCACCGAACAAAATGGGAATAGAGAAACCCCGAGATACGCTTTGTAAACAATCATTATCAGAATGTGTTGACTATCCTGCCAAGTTCTATTGCTATTGAGGGAGCAATGCAACAATTTTAGGACTGCAATCCCCTTTTGTGATACAGCAATATGGACGGTAAGATGACATTAAGCTGTAGATTGGACGTAAAATGCAAAACAATTGAGTTTGTGTGTGAACATGAGCATTGGCCATTTTCACACTAGAGGACGGACAAATGGTCTGGACGGACAAATCGTCTGGTATTTGTTCGTCGAATTTGAATTTGAGAAGGCCATATGCCGAAAAGTTGTCCATCTTATGAGCGCAAAGAGAACAGGCACTAGGTCGTGTTGTAAAGCAAAATGGCTGCTACCATGTTGAAACTTCCCATAAAACCTCACTCTGTTACTAGTCCCATTTCCTCACGGCAAGAAAATCGAAGATTTCACCATCTGATGTGAATTTAAGTCATACTGTCGTCGACTTGTTCATCTCGACGGACAAATCGTCTTAAAAAAATCGTCTTTCCAGACGGCCAAATATCAGACAATTCGTTTGTCGAAAAATTTGTTTGTCCCGTTTTCACATCAGACGATTTGTCCATCCAGAAGATTTGTCCATCCTCTAGTGTGAAAACGGCCAATTTCGAACAACTGACGGCACCGTAAAATAAAATTTGATTAAATTGCACTGAATCATTTCCCCAAAAAATCCTTTGGAGATCGAAAGAACCACACTTCGCCTTCCAAAAGCCAGATTTTCAGTTGATTATTTTGTATAGCACATAGTTAAATAGCGGGTTACTTTTGACCTATATTTTTAATCTTGTTAGAAGACGGTCGGTTAAATTCAATTAGATTGTGTAAATAAACGATCAAGAATTGCTCAAATTGCTGTCAACATATGTATTGATGTTGTTTTTCACGATTTGGTAGTTTTTATCAGTCCAAGTGTTTTCAATTTGTGACGTGACGCTCCGAGATTTGTCAGAAATTTTGAGCTTCAAAAGTGGCATTTCGTCAAACTTCAGTTATTATCAATTTTCTCGAAAAGAAATCGATATTCAGCCAAACGAAGTATGCAGTGCTTTGTTTCACCATAAGTCCTACCTAACTTGAGAATAATTATGAGCCGAATCGATTTTTTGGTTGTTGCCACCAAATGTTTGACTGTTGGTAACATTCGCTCTTAATAGGGTCCTCTTTAACAGAACTTACTTCAAATGACCAGTTTTGTCAGTGACAGGAAACTTCGGAAAAGCAAGGCCTGGACTTGTTGTTATCACCACTGGTGATCTACAATCAAAATAAGCTGCATTGTCCCACCAAGCTGCCAGCTATGAATAAATAAATGTTATTAATATTACTGTTTGCAGAAATACCCCAGAACATTTGGTAAAAAAGTACAATATTGGTGACAAGACAATCTACTTATTGAGTGAAAGGGAGGGCCGGACAGGAAAATACTTGAAGCAAGGTTGTGCAGCACAGACCCAGAATAAATTATTTTCCCTTCCAGTCCTATCAAACTCAATCTATAAGCATTTCTTATATGACCACAAAGTATTGAAACTTAAAAATTTTGTTTAAAAACCTACCTAGGATGCAAGATATAAGCGCATGCTAGTACAAATACACAAATGATGAAATAATTAATTTCTTTACTTGGAGGGAAGGGGTGTTAGAATTCTAAGATACTAACAATTCTTTGAGGAAAGGAACTTAGTTTCTCACTTCTAACTTCCTTACACTTCTTGCAAAAAAAATGAGCTGTTGGAGTGTGGGGCCAGACAGCTTTTCCAGACCAGCTCATATCAACCCATCTGGACCCTGCACATGTCAGCTATGATAGTGCTTTTCTTTAGGATTGGGTTGAAAAGGGCCAGATGGGTCAATTCATAAAATGCCTTGATGCATTTGGTGTGTATTTTGTTATTGAAACCAATATTGTTGATGTGTGCTCTTACATTATAGGATACTGGCTACATTTTTTCCATAAATGTAAATTTGAGTTCGGAGAATTTGGTGTTAAATTTAAGATTATACCCTTTATCATCTTGGCTTTAATTGTCTGTCTGCTTAATGGCATGTTGATATAAAAAAAAAAAAATTCCTACTTCATCACCCCTTGGAGTGAAAGAGCTAAATCATATCTGCCACTCTGAAAAAAGTTGTCATCTGTTATTGATCACTTTGATTGTAGTGTCCTCTCCTAGTCAAGTTCTATGTCAAACTTATAAAAATAGGAGTTTCCTGTCTATTTAAAAAGAAATCCCTTCCTCCTTCTTAACTAATCATAGCAAACATTGTCTTACCCAATTTTTTTCAGTTTTTGCCTTTTGTAGTAATTTATTGTGCAACATTTCACCATCTCCATTTGGTTTGAGGAAATCTTTCACTAAATCTTTTGTGTATTCATAGTCCTCTTCATCTACCAGTGGTTTTACTGCCAGTAGATATTTATCCATGGTCTGTTGTAAGGAAGGGACAGGCAGGGGGGGAAGGGAATCTTGTTTCGCCAACATGCTGAAGGACCTGTAGCGAGCTGCCGATGTCTTAACCATGGTTGGTCTCGCTAATCTCACGACCGTCTGTGTACGAAATGATAATTATTATAAGTCACTGGTATATTTTCCTAATAAAATTATTGTGCTCAATTAGCAACAGAATTTGATGCTTAAGACTGTGAATGATTAACCAATAAATGATTATTTTACTTCATGGGTGGCTTCCTTAAAAAGTAATTTTGACAAAAAACATCAAGTCTTCAATCACATTTCATTACATAAGTGAGTGTAGGTATAATATAATGTTAGGCTGCGGAAAGTTGAGCCCTTTTCATGATGGCATCTGCAATTGATTTACCATAACATCATAGGGAACTAGCCTGTCAGTTTTGGCAAAGTAGCCTCGAAACAGTCCATGAACAAATTAAACCCTGCTGAAAGCTTAATTATAAGTTTTGCTTACATTGTCAAACGATCACTTTCTTAGCTTTGGCAGAGTTTTCATCAATCTAGGTTGAAGTTTCTACACTCGTATGAGTATCAGCCCTGTGGTTATTTTACAGGCCAATACTCGTACTTGACGTCATTTTAATTCATAATCCACTCGGAAAAACACACCCCCAACCACGCCAGTTGACGTATGATTTTTGCTTCTGATATGAAATTTTGAAAACACCTCTATTTAATACGCTTACCTTCGCTTTCGGGATCTGTCTTGAAACGAAGCCCAACATACGAACTCTCTCAGTAAACTGCATTGTAAAATTTTTGGAAAAGGATTAGGTTTCACCGAATGAAGCTCTAGTTTGAATAGACTCGTTACTTCACACGAACAGCGCCATTTCCCTGCTTACCTCGTTTTGTGTCCAGGCTCCACTCTCTTTGTTTATATTCGCTTCACGTGTAGCGTTTGTTGCCTAAATAAATGTCTAAATATTGAAACTTGAGAAACAAAGCAATGATGGCAAAAGAGCACGGTCACAGCTACTTCCAGAATGCGGAGTCTACAATCCTTAACAATTCTAAATTTCATACACTGAAGAAAACGAACTTTGGACTTTGATCCACCGAACAATATTTGTCACCAACTAACCAATCACTAAACGAAGACCATAGAAAGTTTTGTCACGTCAACGGCGATGGAAAAAAAGAAGTTATGACATAATTGATGGTTTGTTTTGTTTTGTTCAGTAGTTCTGAAGTCTATTCAGACTTCCGGCGTCGCATTCCCAGCTCAGCGGTTATTACTCAAAGTTCAACGTAGTCTAGGGTTTGGAAATTTACGGTGTTTAGTTGTTCTCACCTACAGAAACAGCCAGTAAAGTTACATTCTTATGAGTGTTTTAGTGAAAAGTTGAAGATGGCGAGACTGACAAAAACAATTTTCACCATATTTCAGAATTCGGGCCCTTTTTTGAGTTTGCAACTAAACGTACTGCTCAAATCAACCTTACTCAGTTGCATCCCATGATCCCACCCTCTCTATCTATATCCTTTTCCCACAGCTGTTCCGCTATTGAGTGAGTTCATTCTAAAAACGCCTAGAAATCTTTTCCCACCGCACAGTAAAAGATTCGCTCAAAAATAAATAGACGATTGAATATTTCAAAGAATAAGTAAGTAGGCTATCTATTTTCATCCGAAGAAAGTCTCGACGTATCATTCCCTTGGGGCAGATGAAAAGGTCACTCGATTATCAAATAAAAGATGATGAGGGAAAAACACTGAAGTTACCCCTGCCTGTCGAATTAAGGGCTTCCATTGAAACTTAAAAAAGCTTGGTACAATCTTGGAATTCAGTAATAAGCTTCCCATGTCAATCTTGAATTGAAATTTACACTTAAGGGGATGATTTCAACAGCAAATGACCGTCTAAATATAACTTAAGACCGTTGTGCATGATCGCCAGAGTAAATCTGTAGAGCTCGATTCTTACTCCGTAACTGAACAAAAGATGGCCTTTTTGTTGCTAACTGTCATATCGATCCATTATATAAGTGAGCAGACCTAAAATACCCTTTCCTCGCAATTTTTATTTCTAAAGAACTGGAAGCTTAATTAGGTCCATTACTCATATTTACTCTAAGTTGACCCCCAACTAAACACGGCACGCGCCCGTTCTGCCTCATGATCGCACACAAATTTACAGCGAAGAATTTGAATCTCAAGAGTTTTGGGGGCGGGGTTTATTGACACACATTGTCCGAATTTAATGAACAGGAAACGACGGCACGCGCTGCAGTTCTAGCAAAGTGCCTACATAAGCATTGATTGGCACACGTGATTTGTTTTATTTGCCTTGCACCAACAGTCATTTCTGTGTTGTCGTGGTTCAAAGCGCGATGGCTATCGGAATTGTTATTTTCCTATCGGCTTGTGTGCTTTTTCTGGGCTTTTGGCTCTGGTGTTCTAACTTCAGTTTTTTGCGATCTATTTTTGGATCTACCGAGGGCTTACCGTCACCGTTACCTCTTCCAGTTCAAGAAGACATGAGTGAAGGATGTGAAATATATCACGGTAAGGAAAGCATTATTATTGTGAATGTCTTGAGAAAACAGCCATCCTGGCCATAATGAATGGATAGTTATCGAATTAAGATAAATCGGTTGAATTTTATAAATCGTGAAGTGCGTATGAGACCTTAAGCTGTTATAAGAGAACATTACTCGGTGCATCTAACTTATGAAAATCAAGATCAAATAATTTCCCCATTCAATATAATCACTTTGACAGGAACTAGACAGCGATGGTGAACTCACGTAAAGTGGTTCCCATTTCCCCCCTCCTTTTCAGTTTTTTCTTTTTTTTTTTCAATATAACTGGCGTGGATTGTATTTCTTTCTCTCTCGCAGATATGTATCGAGGGATCCCGAAGGAAATCTAACGGAACTTAGCATAGCATCATAAAGAAAGAAGAGAAAAAACTCACTGATATTGTCAGAAAAACGAAGCTTTCTTAAACAACTTCTACTGAACACAGAAACAACTTCCTCTCGAGAACTCAGTGAAACGGCCGGTTATCACAGATGAGTCAATATCTGTCGCTCATCGATCAGAAGTGGAGAAGTTTCATCTATTTCATCGATTAGATCAGATTCTTATCTCTTTGTCAATGCGTAGCTAGGTAATGTTTATAACTTCACTTCCACATGAAATGTAATTTTATTCAGTTTCGCAACGAAGTGATGCATAACTGACCCCAGCGGGCAAATTTTTTCTGACCCATCACACACACTGGCACTTGCACAGCAAAACAGAATGTTAAAAATAAGATAATCACGAAAGGGGATGATTTTATCAGCAAATGGCCGTCTAAATAAACTTATGACGGTTGACAGCTTTCCGTATAATCTACTTGATTGCGCGTGTATATAATTACCTTTGCTTAGGGTTAGCCTTTTTTTACGTTTACGAGTTGCAAGTGATATACATTTTTTAGAAATGATTTAATAAATATTCTTGGCTGTTCAATTAGGGGCATAAAATGGGTGCAACTGAAAACGCTCTATTTCAATTGTTTGGTTTTTCTTTTCATTGTCTTAACCGGGATAGTCATTTCAGTAAATAAGAACTTTCATTGTAATACCGTACCAATCATGCATCTAGGCCAGTCGTGGGATAGGTAGACTTCGATGAGGTATGATCTCACCATTCTGATCGTTAGTGGATCCTAGCCTATTTGCCCCTAACATTCACTAACCTTATCGAAATGAACAATCATTTAAGAATGATCATGACAGGCTTTAGAGCTTTTGTTCTCGAAACGGTAACCGTTGTGCATGATTGCCAGAATACATCTATGTAGCTCTTTTCTTGCGCCGAAACTGAACAAAAGAGGGCCTTTATTGTTGCGAACTGACATATCGATCCATTATATAACTGAGCAGACCTGAAATACCCTTTCCTCGCAATTTTTATTTCTAAAGCACTGGATGCTTAATTAGGTCCATTATCCATATTCACGCCAAGTTGGCTTTCAACCAACAACGGCACGCGCCAGTTCCAGCGACTAAATATAAAATTGCTTCACACAGAGGCCGACCTGCCTTTTGATCACAACTTGGCAGCGAGCAATTTGAATCACAAGAGTTGTGGGGCCGGGGTTTTTTGACCCGCATTGTTCCAGGTTAGTGACGGGAAACGGCACACGCTGCAGTTCTAGTAAATTACTTACAGTAGACGCCGAGGTGCCTTTTGATCACAACTTGGCAGCGTGGGATTTGAATCACAAGAGTTTTGGGGGCTGGGTTTATTGACCCACATTGTCCGAGGGGAGTGAAGGGAAACGGCACGCGCTGCAGTTCTAGTAAAGTGCCTACATTAGCATTGATTGCACACGTGATTTGTTCCATTGGTCTCGCACTAAACAGTCCTTTCTGTCTGTGTTGGATCAAAGCGCGATGGCTATTGGAATTGTCATTTTCCTATCGGCTTGTGTGCTTTTTCTGGGCTTTTGGATCAGGTGTTCTAACTTCAGTTTTTTGCGATCTATTTTTGGATCTACAGAGGACCAGTTACTCAGTTCTTCCGGTTCAAGAAGACGTGCGAGAAGAATGTGAAATATATCACGGTAAGGAACATATCACTGTTGCGAATGTCTAAAGAAAACAGCCATCCTGGCCACGATGAATGGATAGTGATCAAATTAGAGCATTACCCTGTACATTTAGTTATGAATTTCAAGATTGGATAATTTCCCCGTTTTAAAATCACCTTGACAGTAACTAGACAGCGATGATGAATCTGCATTAAGTGATCCCTATTTCCTCCCTGTTTTTTTAATGTTCTTTTCAACATGACTGGCATGAATTAATTTGTATTTCTCTTTCTCTCGCAGATAAGTATCGAGGGATCCCAGAGGAAATCTAACGGAACTTGACGTAGCATCGTAAAAAAGGAAGAGAAAAACTCACTAATATATATTGGACAGAAAAATGAAGCTTACTCACACATTTTTTTACTAGATACCAACAACTGAATAAAGAAACATGTTCCTCTCGAGTACTCAGTGAAAATGGTTATTATGGAGGAGTCAATATCAGTCGCTCATCGATCAGAAGTACAGAAATTTCATCTATTTCATCAATTGGATCAGTGTCTTCTCATTGTTCGTTGTCCATGCGTAGCTTTGTAATATTGTTTATAAACTTTTAATATGAAATGTAATTTTATTCAGTTTTCAAGTCAAGAATACAATTTAAGCAATGCATGATTGACAGCCCACAAAGTGTTTCTGACGCATCACAGCTCGCACTGGCGCATACATAGCAAAACAGACTCACTGTTACAAATAAGTTAATCACGGGGGAAAATAATTAGTTTACACAAATTCTTTGTTAATTTACACTGGGAATGTATCCACTGACTTAATTAATAGCTTGTGAAAATAGGGTCTAGTGAATTAGACTGAGACTACTTACTTAAACATAGTTCATATATATACTATCAATTGAGTGGGATAAGCGATACTGAGTTTTCAGTTGTGAGATGATAAAGGTTTATATTACGTAAATCCCATATGCTGACTCATAGGATAGCTCACTTCTAATTCAAGGTAAGTAATTTTGTTCGCTTCAACGTTTAAACGTCCGGAAAAGGTAGTCCCTAACGAGATTTGTTGACATATGAATTTGATTAGAAAAAAAATTGTAGTTTTAAAAACGGCTTCGACGCAATTATCACTGTAAAGATTAGATAATACGTGATATGGTAAAAATCTAAAATTACAACCATTTACAACAATTATTAGCCTTTCCTACGTAAAAATGTGCATGGATGTCCTAACAGTTTTGATAACTGAATCACGAAAAGCAAGAGAATATATATCAAACAGGTTATAATCTCTTGGTGAAAGATAAATTACCACTATCCAATGCACCCCCAGAAGACCAAAAATACACAAACTAAAGGCATACACCAATCATAACATTAACTCGCAAACTGCTTTCTTACGGATTTAAGTAGCAGGCCAAAATTCCCGCTTTCGATCATCCTGTGGACCTATTTGCCAATTGTCCGTCAGTTTGAATGATAGAATTGAGAAATCGAATCTCGTCCAAAACCGGCCTTATGTACCGGCTTCCACAAAACGGAAAAAATGCCACTGCCTCATTTACCGAGAAAAAAAATCAGAAAAATAACTATCCTATCAAGATATAAACATGAATGTCAATCTACTTAGGCAAAGGGTGTTCGTTTGTCTTTGACTTTCAGGATATAGAAGGCAAATGCAAGTTAGAGATGTGAGCGGTACATTCTTACTGACGCTAAGAAATGTTTTCCCAACACAAAGTAAACAATTTGCTCGCAAATGAATAGACAATTGAACATTTAAATCAATCAATAAATAGGGTTTCTAGTTTTATCCGCTCCAGAAGAAAGTCTCAATGTATCTTTCCGGAGGGCAAATGAAAAAGTCACTCGATTATTAAACTAAAAGATGACGAGGGAAAAACGTTAAAGTTACACCTGCCTGTAGAATTAAGGACTACCGTTTAAAATTAAAAAGCTGCAACGTCTCCACAAAGGCTTGGTACAAACTAAGAATTCAGTACTGAAATGATAACCAATGGCAATTGTTTCATCAGCAAATGACCTTCCAAATGTAACTTATGACGGTTGATAGCTGTCCGCCGGATCTACGCGTGTGTGCGTGTGTGCAATTATTTTTGCTAGGGGTTAGCTTTTTTTTTTTGCATTTCCGAGCAGCCTCACAACTTTGCTGCGAACCACATTGTCCAAGTGTAGTGAACAGGAAACGACGGTACGCGCTGCAGAGCTGCAGTTATTTTTTCTTCTAACAGCACCGCCAATTAAATGCCTACACAAGCACTGGCACACGCGATTTGCTCCATTTGTCTTGCACTAGCAGTCCTTTCTGTGTTGGATCAAAGCGAGATGGCTATGGGCATGGATGGTTTCCTATCGGCTTGTGTGCTTTTTCTGGGCTTTTGGATCTGGTGGACATGTTCTAACTTCAGTTTTTTTGCGATCTATTTTTGGATCTACCAAGGGCTTACCGTCACCGTTACCTCTTCCAGATCAAGAAGACGTGCGAGAAGGATGTGAAATATATCACGGTAAGGAAAGCAAACAGCCATCCTGGCCATGATGAATGGATAGTGATCAGATTGGTAAGATGAATCGGTTACCTTTTTACTGAAAAATGAGGACGTGCGGATGAGGCGCTAAGCAGCTGACGGTGAGAGAACTTGTACTTATTTAATTGGTGTTGAAGTGCAAAGACATTCAAAACCCTTGTCATCCAGCTCAGTTAACCGGCGCAACTAATAGAGAATTTAAAGATCGAATGAATTAATCACTTTAACAGCAACGTGAAGAGCGGATGAGGCCTTGAGCTGCTGCTGTGGAAGAACTTGTACATACTTAAATAGTGGTGCTAAAATGCTAAGGTATTAAAACCCATGTCACCCGCTCAGTTAACTGGTGCAACTACTAAAGAATTTCAAGATCGGGTACTTCTTTTAAATCACTTAACAGCAACAAGGCAGCCATACTGAGTGAATCTGCGTAAAGCGGTTCTTATTTCAAATTCTTCATCCTTTCTAGTGTTCTTTTCAATATGACTGCATGGCATGAATTGTATTTCTCGCTCTCTCTCTCGCAGATAAGTATCGAGGGATCCCCGAGGAAATCTAACGGAACTTAACGTAGCCGGCATCATCGTAAAGAAGGAAGAGAAAAACTCGCTAGTATTGGACAGAAAAACGGAACTTTCTTAAACAATTTTTATGAGATACCAACTACTGAACAAAGAAATAACTTCCCTTCGAGAACTCAGTGTGAAACTGGTTATCACAGATGGGTCAAAATCTGCCGCTCATCGATCAGAATGGGAGAAATCTCATCTATTTCATCGATTCGATCGGTGTCTTATCTCGTTTTCAATGCGTAGCTAGGCAATATCTGTTATTCAGTTTCCAAGTCAAGAATAGAAGTTAAGTGATGCTTAACACCTCCGCAGTAATTTGGCAGATCCACAGCAAAATAGTCTGTTACAAATAAGATGATCAAATTTTCATCTTTTTCACTGACTCGATCTGTGTCTCATTATTGTTCGTTGTCAGTGCGTCAGCTGTGTAATATTGTTTATTACCTTAATATAAAATCAAATACAATTTTATTTTGTGAAAAACAACAACAACAACGACTATCCTTTAAGAAAAACATGTATGCAGATCTTCTCCGGCAAAGGGTGTCCGATTGTTCCTGACTTTCAGGAAAGAGAAGACATGTCTCTGAGACTTGAGCGGTGCAGACCGGGGCCCTGATGTTAAAAGCAATTTTTTATGGCGCATTTCAACCGCTAAATATTCGCTAAAATGCCCAAATTTTAACATATGTATGCTAAAGCTACAAAGAAAGATATTTTATACATGCAACAGGCTTTAAGAAATTGTATTCAATTCCGACAGTCGTCACCATAGGAGTTTCCTAAGTAATTCCACTTTTTATTTCCCGATAAACGCGATTCAGGTCAAGTATATGTCTAAAAGGAACCTAATTGATAAAATACTGTTCATTCCTTTAAGAAAAAAAAAAAAAGAGTTCTATAATTCGTGTTAAGAAACGTTTTCCTGACCACTCCGAAATTGCCGCTTGTTTACAATTCATTTTTGAGCGGTTGCGGTTTTCACGATCTGTTTCCGGTTGCTCCCAGTCCCAAGCATCATGAATTTCGTGCTAAATATTGAAACCTTCTATCGCTGTTTCAGTACTTACAAGACAGTGACACTTTTTTGGAACATTCCATAGATATAATTAAAAGAGTTTCTTCTCATGATATGATGTTTCTTGAAAGACTTGCTTCCTTGCGCTCTATGTACATGTATAACTATGCATGTCTACCGCGCGGTTTATGCTTCTCTCGCCCTTCTCAAAAGGAAAAAGAAAAGATGTAATTATTACTAAGGCAATACATCACCTAAGAAACACAAAGCCTCCTGACCAAATAAAGAAAATCCGTAAGAATGTCCATTCTCGTAAAGCTTGGACTGCAACAATAAACGTTCTTCGGAAAAAGTATGAAAAGGGAAATAACAGATTAGTGCGAGGCAGCTTGCAAGCCAACTCGAACAGAACTTTATGTGTGATTTCGACTAGTCGTAAATAATGAATCAGGTTTGAGGACCCCCAAAGCTAAGGCCTGACGAAAGAGATCGCAATGGTTTAATTCATTTTTTCCTGTTGATTTTCCTTTTTAAGTAAACTTGCATCGGTAGTTGTTTAGGCTTCCGTGACTACCGTCCGAAGTTCCATTGGGCCATTGCATCAGGCGATGGAACGATATGAGCCCGCGATGCCATGCACTACATTTCTAAATCCGTCTTATCCTTCTAAGATGGAGGCGAAGAATTGTCAGGAAAGGATACTTTCGCGGGTATTTCACGTATCTCTAACGACAGGGATTGTCCTTATTCTAATGCTTAAAGATACAGGTAACCAAGCTTGATTCTCTCTATAACTAGCGTAGACATTCCCTCGCGTATTTGAATATATCATGTAAATTTAACGACATACTTTTTTTCAGAACTTAGAAGAGCTTGTTTTGATGGGAACTTGTTGCATGTTGCCGCGTTCATGTCGCTTTGTTTCATCGGTTTTATTTTCTACTTTGTGGCAAGTTGTATGGATCCTGGTTTTGCTGAAATAAGTGACGAAAAAAGTATAATGGTTTCTTTTGAGGTAAGATCTACAGTCTCAATCGACACAAAATACTCAGAAAGCGAAAGTAAACAAAGGCAGTTCTATAGTTTTTGAGTACACAGAGCTGAATTTCACTATTTGCTCGAATTTTATAATTATATATCAGTATTTTCCTGTTGTAGACTAGGTATGGCATGCCCTTAATTTAATTAGATGAGTCTATCTTTGTGATTGGAAACAAATTGTTGAGAAAATCCCTATCGAAAGTGAAAACGTTAACATACTGTTCACAGTCACTGACATAAATGCTTACATTTACCAAACTACACCAGCGTGGGGAAAAGCATGAAGAGAAAAGGCAACGTACTAAATTTATAGGTTATTCTTAGCATGTCGTTTCCAGTTTAAGATTCTTGGAAATCCCATAAAGAAGCAGTTTCTCCTATTCAGTAAGGACTGAGCCGAATACGCTCTCGAAGGAAAAAATCTATAACATATAACACAGTCTTTCTGCTCATCGACTAACAGTCTCACATTGGTCCTATTATTGTAAGTGGTCAGCTAGCCATGGAAAGCCTCTATTTGATACAAGGTTTTTAATTCCCTAGTTGTTATAAATAAGGTCATGATGGAACAAAATGGAACTAAAATGAGATCAAATCAATCATGTTTTGATATTTCATTGTGTTGGTCAGTCAACAATTGATCATGGAATTCCTTGTTTTTTGTTGTGGGTTTCTTTTTTTTCAGTTTCATTAATTACCAAACTCAGTGAAATTGATTTAACCCTTCAACTCCCATAAGTGACCAAGACATAATTTTTCTTTACAATATCAATAAAATATTCAGCATACAAGAGATGTGAATAAAGAAAAACATCAATATTTGAGGATTATCAATTGATCCAATTACGAATTCTCAGAACTAACAATATAAAAATTGAATGGCAGATAGATAGGAGAATCACTGATGAGGTTTTGGTAAAGAAAGAGATAAGTATTTCGCTTTTGTTGAGATCAGATCTCTTACAAGTTTTGATGCTGCTTGGCTGTAATGTTGCAAGCGCTGTTTTGTTGATTAATGGTGAGGTCAGTGATGTTGGTGATGGGGATGTGGCATTTCTTTAGAACTTAGACATTATCATCTTTTCACTAAAATCAAGAACCGCCTCTTCAGTAGTCTTAATAGTCATATAATGCAGACTTCATATGTTTGATTGTTCTTGAGTTTGTTTGGTTTTTCCATTCACCCCACATTTATTTCTGTACCCTGACTAGATCAAGATGGTTCACCATAATTCCTTGATAATCACTTTATGCATGTACAGAAAACCCATCTACAAGTCTGAAATGGCCTAGAGTTATTATAATTAAACATGATGTTGATATTACATTTACCATCACATGTACCAGTACATACGTGTATGTAAGGGGAATCTATTTAACAAGATAGAGTCACTTTCAAATTGGACAGGGAATCTATGTAGCAAGAGTCAAATGCCACTCCTCTATTCCCTGTGTCAAGTCTGCTCTTTGTGTGCTTTGATTCTGTTTCAGATTTGCAAACTTTAATTGAGACTCTTTCATTGTTGGAACAGGGTACTCATAAATATATGGCATGCAGCAGGTTTTCTGTTTTGCTCGTGAGACAAACTTAATGTTGTGCAACACTACCTTTTGGTGTCATTATACAACCTCTAGTTCTTATCTCAATGCTAAAAATTGTGCTTTACCAGTAGCAGGGCTCGACACTAACTTTTCAACTCACTAGCCAAGTGGCTATAGTGACATCTTAGATGTTACAACAAGTTCAGTTTGTTACTAGCCAAAGTGGCCAGTGGAAATCCAAAACCACTAGCCATGCAAGACTGAATTTTTACTAGCTGTCTATTTTTACTTGTTTTTAATGGAGGCACTTGATGAGTCTTGAATTTTACCATTTATCACCCCCTTTACAATGGATCCATTTTGTTAACTATAATGATTGGAGTCAGGGATGTCCTTGGGCTAGTAACAGTGAAGTTTATATTGCTTTCCCATGACTCCTTATTTGATAAACCCATAACAGTTTTGCAATTCATATTTTAGAAAGCAGAACATGAGTCAGAGAGCCAGTCAGATGGAGAAGAAGGTACAGAAGAATCCTGTAAAATTTTAGCTACTCCTTCTTTTGGAGGTGCTAGATTGCGGCGTTGTGGATACTGTGCAATATTACAGCCACTGCGGGCCAAACATTGTGAGGACTGTGGCCGTTGTGTGCGGAGATATGATCACCACTGTCCCTGGCTTGGAAATTGTGTGGGGGAAAGAAACCATAGATTTTTTTGGTGCTTTCTTCTGACTCAGTGTGTTCTAATTGCATGGGCCACTGAAATAACATGGTAAGAATCAATAATTTTTACTCTTTTCAATATGGCTGGTGATTTCTCAGAAAACCTTTCCTCAAATGTTCCTATCCAATGTTTAAAAAATTGCACAAAAAAGATAGGTTACCATGCTTGTTGAAGAAATATGATGGGTCAATCTTACTGCAGTGCCACTAATCACGCAGATCATTTCATTAGTTTATGGGACATTTTGCTTGCTTGAAGCAAGGGTTTTCAAGCAACACTTGAAAAAAACTTTAAAGGTAAAACTTGAAATGGAACTATTTGATAATTATATAATTTGTGGAAAAATTACAAGGCTTTACTTTGCATCATTGAGCACTGGGCTTTGTGAACACCTTTAGCTATTATTTATTACATCTTTTTCTCCCTTCAACGAATTCTTTTATTTCTCCTATTAAAAGACGATGATTTGTACATCAAAATTATGCAACAAAAAATTTTGGTCACCAGGTTTGTTCAAGAGCTAAAGATTATGGTACCTCCTAACCTGGTCCATTGATTGAAAAACAATACGGTGTGCTCAGAATGTACACACTTATTGACCTAATTAAGTGATTTTTATGGGTAGTACAGGATGTGCAATGCAATACTGAAGAATCATGGTGACCTTAAAATGACCATAAACATGACTATGATTATGAATATATGCCAACAGTGGGGGAGCTTCAATATTTCCCTAATATGGTTTTGCAGAGAAGGAAGTATGACGGATAACAAATGCCCATGATATTTGTGGCAGTCTGAGGAGAATGAATAGTGAAAGATGTGATGGTGGAGTGGTCTAAGAGGAATAGAATCAGGCATTGCCTGGAAGCCAAGTGGCCCATCAGGCTGGGGACTAACTACAGTTTCCTTAGTATGAAGTGACTAGGAGTATTTCTACTCCCCCCCGGATGGGATGGGATGCTAGTCGGTGTTAATGCTAGCAGGGTTGCCCTCAGCATTAAATTCACTGGTTCCCATTTAAACACCTGGGTGGAGAGAGGCAATGTGAGAGTAAAGTGCCCTGCTCAAGAACACAACACAATGCTCCTGTCCAGAGCGGAAACCCACACCACTCAATCTGGAGTGGAGCACACTAATCATATGGCCTCTGTGCCTCTCACAGTTGGGCGCCTGATGATAGTATAAATAGATGAGGGATGAGCTGATAGAATGGCTTTTTAAGAAAGGATCTCTTGTTTTGTTTTCTCCCTAGGTATTCTTTTGTGTACAAGAAAGAGTGGTTAGCTTGGTTCCTTGCAAATGTTTTCCTGATTTTTGCAATGTTTGTGCTGGGTCTTACTTTTATTGTAGTTTTTCTTTTATTCTGCTGCCATTCCTATTTAATGGTGACTGCTCAGACTACCTGGGAGTATATGTCTCGATCAAGAATTTCATACTTGAAGACACTCAGTGAAGATGTGAATCCATTTGATCAAGGAGTATTTTGTAATGTGTACAGTTTCCTGTGTAGATGCAGAGTGCAAAAATGGGAAGTACTGCTGCGACAGAGAGATCGCTGGGCTTAGAGCCTATTTGATATCGACTATAAATTTTTGTAATTTATTCTAATCTAAATTAGGAATTTTTATTTTTGCCAGTTTAATTTGTACTTTTCCTTTCTAATATCTCATCACTATAAACCACATGTTGTTACATGCATACTTTTAAAAGAACACTCAAAGGTGCAACCATGGTTTCCATGGCTAGCAGAAAAGAATTTGCCACTAAATTTGTAGTTATAGTTGCTAATTTGGCAAAATGTGAATGGTTGTGAAATACCAAGCTGAAAAAATTTTTTCTTCTCAATGATCATAGCCTAAATGTGAACTAAAGACAAAAGTCTTCATGGAGGATGACATAATTTGGCACAAAATGTTCCTTTTGGTGTTTCTGTTTCTTTTTTTTTTTATTTTGCTGGACATTAAAACTTTACTTTTGGCAATCACTTCATGATTTTAGCTCACCAAATGGTGATTTTAAAACAGTTGATCCACAAGCCCTGAGAGGACACTACAGTACATTAAATCATAATGAACAGAAGTGATAAAAATGCAGCTCAGCAATTTAGATATGATATCCACTGAAGAAGTTATTATGATGCACAAACTTATCCCAAGGAGGGACTTATTTTGAAAGAACACCAACTTCTCCAATCTATGGCACCAGAAAATGTATAGACAGTACAAGAAAGAATGAATCACTACGACTTGGATGTTAAAGGTTTCTAGACATTTGCCATGTCTATCAATAACCATAAAACCATTATAGTAAAGTTTATTTTCATACAGGTCACATATCTTGCATTATGTATGTTTTGCATTTATGTATCATGATATTCACTTGTGTCAATATTTAATTTCTTGAATAGACATTATGCAGTTTCAGAAAATACCTGTAATGTTGTCCATGTTACACTAAAGACATTTGTTTATGTGACAAGGTCCCATAGGGTTCTATTTACAGGTATTTTCTGTATTGCTCATTTTGCTGATATCTGATATGTTAACTAGAGGGTAGTAGGTGCATAACATGTCTGATTCTAAAATTGACTTACCCAACCTCTTAACTTCCTGAAAAGGAATTTCTCTTTACAATATTAATACATAATCATGCAGAAAGGTGATGAGAAGAAGAAGAAATAATTTAGGGAGATTGCTTAACTGAAAACCAAGTATTCACGGCCAGAATTTTGTAAACTCTATGACAGATTGTGTAAAGAATTGATATTCATATCATGGGAAATCAAGGGTCTAGGGTCCGTTTCTTGAAAGTCCTGAAGTCCTGCTAACTTGACAGGCCCGTAAAGCTGTTCTGTTTTCAATCAAGATGGGGAATTCAACAGTTTTGAAAATGATGCAATAAAATGATCAGCTAAAGAAATGAAAAGGACTGGTTTGGGTGCCAGAACCTGCTTTCCTATCCTTTAAATTTTGATTTTAAAACATGGCTACGGCCTGTTAAGTTACCAGGACCTTCAAGAAACAGGCCTCAGGTGCTTGCAAAGTCAAGATTCAGTAAAGCCTTCAACTTTCAGAAGTAATCAGCTTATGAATTTCATTCCAGCAGAAAAGTGATAAGAATATTATAACTTATTGATGTAACGCTAAATTCTTGTAATTTACTTGTGGGGAAATGTACAGCATCTAGAGGGGAGATCTTTGGAGGTAAAGGGTTCATTATGTTGCTAAGCAACAGTATAGGACATTGATGGTGTTTTACGAGTTATTTCTTTGTTGGGAAAATGTAACTTGATATAAAATACTGAACTGTTTAGCAAGTTCGGCCATGGGTGACTTTTATCAGTTATTGACACTAGAAAGGGTTAAACAAATGTCTCAAGAGTAATTGTACATAGGAATATGTTGCCAAGTAGTGAAACAAGTTCAAATTGTGAATGATAGCCTCAATAATGTACCTCATAACCCATTGTGAGGGTTTTAAAAAGCCATGAACAATGTTTGTTGACGAGGTGTTTTGTGTGACATATACAATAAAGTTCAGTTTCCTAGAGAACCTGATCAATAAATTTTCTTAGATATTTTATTGCAGTTAATTGGTAATTGCTTGATCATGCTGCATGAAACATACTTTCTCAGCAGTTATGTTTCCTGTATCTTCACTCATGCGGTTATAGCAAAGGACGTCAAAGAATCCACATGCTGCTCTTAAAGAGTAGGGCCTAAAGCTCCTGGTCCCGGTTGTTTAAAGGTTGGACGACGCCATCCACCGCATAAATCTGTATACATTGGATAGCGCAGTAAGTTTTGCCATCACTTATCCGCTGGATGACCAGTCATTCATTCAGCACCTTTGTGCCATGACTCATATAAAGCTGAACGAGGAACAAGAGCTCGTACGTTTTTTGGCACAACCCATCGGCTGGTCTATTCAGCGAAAAACCCCCTTCTGTAGCAGATGGTATCATTCTTCAGATTTAGGTTTTACTGTGAACTGTTTGTGCCGCTACGCCGACCATCGGCCGACATTTTTAGGGAATTTACGCCGCCAGTCTGCAAAATCGTCACATTCACGTAATCTGAGAACGGAAGCACTGAGCAAAAATTATCCTACTTTGAACTCAACGCCCTTTTCCACATTTTATGCTAAGTACGATTAAGACAAAGAGTCATTTGGGCAAACGCCAGGGGTATACGTGTGAAAGAAGTTTTCTGTTTTCGTGACTGGTAAAAAATTAATACAACTACGTGGGAGGACTCTCCGGCGTTCCTTCTTCAGTGGATTTCGTAACTAGCATAGCTTTCTTCGTTTACGCCCTCGCCCTTAACGACTCTCAACGTTCCTTCTAGAGTAGGTTTCGTAACTAGCATAGCTTTCTTCGTTTACGCCCTCGCCCTTAACAACTCAACGTTCCTTCTAGAGTAGGTTTCGTAACTAGCATAGCTTTCTTCGTTTACGCCCTCGCCCTTAAC